TCTCTCTCTCTCTCTCTCTCTCTCTCTCTCTCTCTCTCTCTCTCTCTCTCTCTCTCTCTCTCTCTCTCTTGCTGCAAATAAACGTTAACCGTTGGAAAAACAATTTAAGTTTTACAAAAAATAGCCTAGACAAAGAAAGAGACTCGACCTAAAGTACCTGCAGAAATTTGAAAATTGAAGTCGAGTACATTGGGCAAATCTGTTAAGAATTTCCCTTTTAATCGACAGAATAAGTTTCGTTGGAGGATTTACGATGGCTACATTCATACGCCTAAACCGGTGGGCCGGCCGCAAATCTCGAGAGAAGAGAAGAGGCACTCCTTCCCGGCTTTTTCTTTCGCCTTTTAATTCGTCCTATCCATAAGCTATATTTACGGAATCGGGCGATTCAACGAAAATCCGACAATAGAGAGATACGAAGTTACCGTTCAACTCGAACCGCCGCGCTCCTTCCGGTGAATTCCGTACACCCTTTCAGGGCGCGAGAGCCGTCTTCCACCCTCGACACAGAACACTGTCACACCGTATACCGAAAACCCACCCTGACACGAGGGCTCGAAGAAGTTACCAAGACGAGAAACTGGTTTGCCAGGACTATGGCAAACTATCGTCAACGAAGACGACGAGGATGGCGAGGGCGACGACGTCGTGGACGATACTCCCCACCCTCGGCACGGCACGTACTCTCTCGCCTGCGTCGGTGAAGCAACCCCCTCGAGCCGCCCTCGAAATAGCGCGCCGACGCCGGCAGGTCGCACCACCGTACGCGACGCCGCCGGATCGATCGTCGTGACGTCATGACGCCCACGCAAGCGTCGCGGATAATATCGTCTTCTGCCTTTCTCAAACAGGAATTCATCGAAATAAATACGTATCTCAGATCGCAGATGCGCGAGGCTTTTTAATTACGCGGAATTGTCGCGGCCCGACGGGGAATCGATGGCGAGATAAGCTCGCCCAGACGTTACGTAAACTGTCCTGCAATATTTTTATTGACTTTTTGATCCATGTATACTCGGAAATAAGAGCAGTGTGCAACAATTTCTGAGATGAATATTGGCTCTCGATATGTGTGGAAATATGTTACTCTGTGTATTTCAATAGCAACACTGTGTATTTCATACGCTCACATGCATCGAGCCTTTGGATATTTGTAAACGATGGTACTATATTCTCCAATATTTTTCTAGCTACTAAGTGCTTTTATTTGTAATGAAACGCTCGAGGAAAACAATTAATATCCTACTTTTTTACCCTATGATGCGCTATCAAGCGCACGTGTTTATCTGATACATGTGCCGAGCGCATCGAGTCGCACCAGATGCATCCCTCGTCTCGTCTCTGTTCGTTTCGTGCCGCGAGGAAAAGGGACGTGCCGAGTTGTACACGCCGCGAGGAGAAGAGTCGTAGGACAATGCTGGAGGCTGCTGTCGGAGCGGACAAAGGCGCTTATCTTTCTGCATACATTACGCGCGCTAGCGCAGCATCGCACCGCGAACGTTCGCCTTCTTCTCGCGTGGTAAATTCATTTCTCGCCCCGGCACGTACTGCGAGAATATGTCGTCCGCTTTAATTGCAAACGTTGCCTTTTGTTCAAGGACAATCAAAAACAGGACCAATGACGTAGGGATAACGATACAATATCTTTAGTTACAAAAAATTATCGACATATTTAATAATCAGTTGTAAGAGAACACTAACAAGGAGAATAGTTATCCCCATAAATGAAATGTATCGTGCTATTAAAATGTGTTAGTCAATTAGTCAGAACTGACGTGGTACTTCAAACACCACGTGTAATTGCGACAAAATACACATAAACATACGGAGTACAATCGCTTCGACTGGACAACACAGTCGTTTTCGCGATTATTCTTTTTTAGATACATTCGGATTTATTAGGTAGACGAGGAAAAAGAAAGGGCTCGCAGTAATCGTTGGAATATGCCGGGCGTCTTTGTGCAGACTATATAAGGCCTCGATGATGGCGATGAGGGTCGTGGAAGGGTCTCGGATGAGTATATTGAATTTCCGAAAAGCGCGTTGGGTTTCGAGCCGAGGGATGATACCCCGATTATGCCGAGCGACTTGGACGAAGAGCCCGGTTGTGCCTTCCGGCGCATTTCCGAAGCATTATGGCAAACAACACCTTGTGTATAATACTTGCGGTGCCGATCAAGAAAGAAAAATCCTCTGTTAATTATTTGACACGTTCCTATCAAATGAGCGTACAAGGTATACAGGAAAGAGAGAGAAAGAGAGAGAGAAAAATATTTTTTTAATATTATACTAATAAAAAAAACATTCGCGATAGTTTTGTAATTTCCAAATTTATACTTTTCTAATAATTTCATTGGAATGTAAAACGATTCGGAAACAAGATTTTCGATTTTATGACTTGTCCTTGCTAGGGTGGATCGAGTTGGTCGGAGGGAATAGCAGGAAACGGCACGGCGGATGTTTGCAGAAGCGGGTGGAATCGCTTTCGCAAATTAATCGGCTGGCCACGCTTTAATTCGATCGCGGCAAAAGTGGACCGCGCGGCGCTGAGTAATCAAACGCGCGTCCAGGATTAACCCCGCGAATTTCGCCCAATTAGAGATTGTTAGACGTCGTCCATAAGCCACGCAATTTGACTCACTTGCAAGTATGCGCGTGTGAATAGAACGAAATTCGAAACTTGGCCACAAATAATCAAGCTTACTTGACAAATGATATGGGAGAAATAGTCTACAAAATATCAGATACAAGCAACGTTGAAGCTACCAGAAATACGAAGGCGAAGCCAAAGCAAGAGTTTTTTACGGAAACCAGCTCGAGTATATTGATCACACATGGATTTTTAATCCGTCGTTCCAACGACGAAGATAACGAGTTATTTCCACCGAAAAGCTCACTCGAAAGCTTAGGTCTCGAGGAGCTTTCTTGATCAATACTCGGCGCGTTCGCGACGTTGCCCACACACTAATTTATCGCTACTTTCGCGCGTCGCATCTTCGTCTCTCATTCATATTTCATCCGATAAAAAATGATCCGACTACTTGAACTTTCGCGACGCTCGTGCGAATCGCGTGATCGACGTCGCGTCAATGCCAAGTTCAACTCTAGAAAAGATCTTCTTTCGCAACGACGTGCGATATCGTCTGTATTGACGTTTTCGTGCTGTGCTTTGGCTCATAGTTTAGTACTCTGCTAGGAGCTCCTTCAATCGAGGGATTGGGAATCGCGATATTTTGGCAGTTTCTAGAAAAAAAATTCTTCAACTAATCTACAGACTTACCTATCGTGCTCGTGGCTGTAGGAAGGATTGATCCTGCGCGCGTACAAAGACGCGCCGCCCTCGGACATATATCCGTCGCACAGATCCGACAGCGTCCTGTTGCCGACATTCATGCCGCTTCCACGCAACATCTCACCGTCGCTCAAGTAGCCAGAAGCAACGTCCACATCGGCATAATCGTGATGGCCGACGACGTGGTGATGTGACGACGTGTGCAGGACGGTGTACTGCCTAGCTGTGGTGCGACTCGGTAGAGTCTGCAAACCTCGAGCTCCGGGTGTGTAGCCGCGCAGAAGAGGTTGCATAGGCTTCACCGTCATCTCGGCCTCGTCATCCGCCAAAGATCCGCCACAAGTCGAGCTTTCCGACAGGACCTTCGTAGAAAAATGATGGAGAGAATCTAAGTGTTGCTCAATTATCTCTCTGTCTTTCAACTATTCCTGAAAATATCGATAAACGTAACCGACCTTCTCCATTCGCTCGAACGTGGTGTCGATCTTCCGATTGGGTATCGTCTTGATCTCGCTGCCGCTCTCGCTACTAGGCCTGTAAATTACGCTGCTGTCGCTGGAGTTGCTCTGACCGGTGCTGTTGGAATTGCTGTGCGAACTCTCGGACATCAAGTCTGAGATACTCGGCATCGGCGACACCATCGCCACCGTATTCGGGTCGAGTTTGCGATGAAGAGCATCGCTTGCTTTCGGCTTGGTCGGCGTCGGCACGCCGGCCATGCAACTCTCCTTTGGCGGTTTCGACGTGCCCTTCACCAGGGCGGTAGGTTTGGGAATGCTGGAACCCGGACTGAGCCCGGGACCGCTCGAACACGCATTCGGACCCTGGAGCGGCTTGCCGAGCCCAAAGCTCACACTGCTTTGCGGCGTAGGGTTGCCGCGAGGACTGATAGCCCTTTCGTCGGCATTTTCCGATTTTTCGTCGAGCAGTAGCAGATCTGTATGATCGGGCAGGGCAACTTTCTTCTTCTCACCGGGAGCGTCACCGATCGCTATCTCTTCCTCGCGAATCATCATTCCGTCTCGGCTCGGTTCTCGAATCTTGGCCGGTGTACAGGGGCCGATGTATTCGTCCGGGGAGACGGTTCGCTGCTCATGCTCCGCCTCCAGTGACTCCTTCCGCTTGATCGCTAGGTCCTTGCCGCTCGACAGATTCGCCTGATTCATACTCAGGGTGTGATCCAAGGTGTCGTTCTCACGGGTCACTATCTCGTTCGGATCGGACGGCTTGACGATGCCGTTGGTATTCGCCAGGATAGCCCTGTGCACCATCAGGTCCTTGTTGAAGCCGTTTGGAGGTGGTTTGATGTTTTGCGGCTGAATCTTGAGATCCGTCATCTTTCCTGGAAGTTCCATTTTGGGTCTTGACGACAGTTTCGTTGTCGGTGGCTCGTTCTTTGCGCCAGCGCATCTCGTGTCCTGAGCATTCATCGGTCTAGGCGGCGTCAAGACGGAAGGATTTATCTTCTGAGATAGTGGCTGCGCCATCGGTGGCTGCTTCACCAATTCCTGAAGATTCGGAGTCTTTCTGTCGCTCGGTAATTTACTACCGCTCACCTTGCCGGGAGTCTTTCCATCCATTTGCTCCTGCGAAACGGGATAAGCTGCCGTCGTTACCTTGTCCGTACAACTCGGCGGCGCTTTGGTGCGCGCGATCTTGCTCTGGGCCTTGCTCTGCTCCTTCCTGCCTGTCTTCGGGCTAGCTTGCTTCGCCGACTTGGCAGCCGACTGCAGTTTCGACTTGAGCGCACGACTTTTCGGCGACTCTTGACAAGCTTGCTGTTGACTCTTGCTCTGATCGCACAACGAGGTCGAGCTGTCCGAGTGTTCTGACCGCGCTGACGAGAAGCCGGACGAGCTCGATGTGCGCTTCGAAACTCCCGACGAGGCCTTGCCACGCTCCTGGTTCTTCTCCTTGTTATTGAAGAGCTTGAACTTATCCAGAACGGAATTTTTGTTGGGTTGCACCGTCGGCGCAGTGTTCGCGCCGATATAAGGCGAGGCCTGTTGTTGGGCTCTCGAGCTGTTGCCGTTGCCGTTGGGTCGGCCTACCGTGGACGCTCGAGGGCTGCAAGAAAGGAATTCTATCGTCAGTGATCACAGTACGTCTCCTTCCACATCTGTCACACGACTCTTTACCTCGGCGTGGTAGCTGCCGGTTGTCGGTTCGACGAATTTTGGCTCCTGGGTTGTGGAATGAAGGAGAGACCGCTCTGCTGAGACTGCGGCTGCTGCTGACTGGGGCTCGTGCTTCTGGAGCTGCTTGCGCTGCCCACGCCACCATTTCCGTGTTTCAGACCACCTGAAACGAAGACAACGATACTGAAAGGAAAAGCGACCCCCATCCGATGCGATGCCTCTGAAATTCCTAGAAAATTCCTGCAAGGTAACGCTGTAACAACGATAACGGTAACGCTGAAACGATGATCGGCTGCGTCATTAAGCGCGCACAGTCGCACGACTGTCGCGGCAGCGCGGTGCAACCGCAGTAGTGCGTCGTGCACCGTAGACGAAATAAACCGCGCGTGTTTACCAAGAGCGAGAAGATTAATCCGCTACCCCGCAGTACCAGCCGATCCGTTTCCATAGTAATCGTAGACGTTGTTTCTGTCAAATAATCCGCATCAACCGCGCAACTTGAGCGAGCTCTTGAAACGTAAATATATACCCATGATTAATCATCGAGGCCATATACGAGCCGAGTTCGAGGCGAGTTCGAGAGAGTAAATATAGTCAGTATAATATAGCCTATAGAAGTTTCAATTTACGACAGTGTGTGTGAAATGAAGACAGGTGATTTAGTCATCCAAACAAACAACAGGGAGACAACTAAATTAAATGCAAATTTGCGAGCAATTTTTGATTTCTCACTTACCTCTCAATTCAAAGTCGCTCCGAGTCTTTTGCTTTAATTACTGCTACAAGTCTCACTTTCGCATAAACAAATCTGTACGTCGCAAAATAAATTTTCAAACTAAAAATTACAAGCTGAAATTCACAGGGAATTCAGTTCATAGAGTCCTTCACGACTTATCATCTTGCGAATCACACGCATGAGTTTTGCGCACGATCGCTCTTCTTCGTTGGCATGCATTGTCATCCAATTCGCGCTAGTTACGAATTGCGCCTAATACGTCAGCCGCGTTTAAATTGTTCCTGTGCGTGATGTATTTTGCACAAAGACGAACGGACAATCGTTAAGTCTGGGAGAAGATTGAGTCAAGAGCTTGTTTTAGCTAGCTCTAATGAAGAATCTATACTTTATTTTGTACGCAGACCCTATAAATTTTATCACGTAAGTTTCCTCTGGTAAATTAATAAGAATTGAATAAAGATTTAACAAAGCGTATGACAAAGTAAACCTCAAAATCGGGCTAAGACAACTATTATTATTCAGAATTAGACAAAGATAACCTTTGTGGATTTCGTTAGTATATAGAACGAACTATGTGTTCAGAGGCGATTCCATTGAAAACCGCCAGTCACGGATCGTGTCGTAATGAAATCAAGATTCCTTCTTTTCCAGCGCGCTCCAAGGGGCTCTAAGGTAGAAAAGAGACAGGGAAATGTTAAAACGTGACCAGGCATTCAGTCGTCTGTCTCAATTCATCACGATTGATCGATTTGACATGTTATTAATGACAGCTACGTAGTTTAAAAATTTCGAGATAGAAGAGGCAATATCAGATGAATGTTCCTCTCGGTTTATTTCGATTATACTGATATTCCGTCGATAAAGATATTCTTTCTCACACACATACACACACGCACGCACGTGTAAAACTTGAATTATAAAATAATTTTACCGTGGGAGGATTTTCACACTAAAAGTCTGTAATTAGCAGAATAGTAATCTTTTCATGACAAATTGCTTTCTTTCTTTTTTCCCAACGACAGAATTCTAATCCATGAGAGATTTTTTTAAACTGAATTTTCTGATAATTGGAATGTGTGTTTGTGCACGCGTGTTTCGTTTACATAGACATTTCATCTAGTGCGAAAAAGAAGGATTAAGAAAATATTTCACCACCAAAGAAGTTCCTACAGCAAGATGGACAAAGCCCATCTCTTGGAAGTGATGATCTCGCGAAAGAAGTCCGTTTGAGAGAATGCACTAAGAATTTCTCGCGAGAGTCTTCACCAGAGCGACTGGCTCGTTCGCTCACTTCACTGGCACTAACGTTCAACTCACTCTGTCCCCTTCATTATTCTCTCATTGCTCCTTCCGCCCAAGATAAGACAATATCGGCCCACGTGAGAATGCAAAAGCGACGGTCAACAGGTTCTTATAGCCAATACACTTTTCGATATCATATGTGGCCGACGAAAACATTTATACAAAGATTTTAAGGTATTCCAAAATTTACTCTCAACTTAATAATATCTCAACAATTGTATATGTATACGCGCACGCCTATAAATTTATTTATATTTCATTCGAATATGTGTCGCGATTAATGTTTCAAGTTTTATCCAGGTTATAATTTGAGAAGCTAAACGAAACACGATACTCTATGTTACGTCAAAATTTATTTGCTGCTCTTGCTACAGAGTGTTTCCGTAGGAAAACTTAAGAGAACGTTTACGGTGCGTGAGTACGCGCACGATAAGCGCGATCCGAACGACTTTTAAACATTATCAAACGTTTTACTTTGCTCATTTCCTTACATTGAGCGTGTCACTCCGACTTCCTCTTTTCCTACTGCTTATCGTGCCCGCCGAGTTCTTCGTCTCGCAAACTTAGGAACTAAATTTTCTTAGGAATAAAAATAATATAAGTAAGTTCGCCTCGACAGAATAAATGTCGTGACAATGCCACGAAATGACGACTACGATTTCTCCGTGCTGCAATGTACCTTTTATTTTCGTTGGGCTCACTGGATTATACTGCGCGGTGGATACCCGTTAAACCGAAAAAGTTCAGCAAAGAAGAAGAGGAAACTGATTAGATACGCGGGTTCGAGTTATGCCTTCGGCGAGGAAGAGGCTATAGAGGATTAGAAGAGCCCTTAGAAGCTTCTTTGGATGGATGACTAAGCTCGGTCTGGTCTTTTTCGTGGTAAACTTGGTCGATATCGACTAGCTGTCGAATCGACAGCTGTTGACTCTAACATGCGCGACACGTGTTACATTGTGCCGGTTTTTCCTCGGGCTTCCAAGTTGATGGACACGAGCGATGTCTCGCACGAGGGATGATTCCTTCGTCTCGATTAGACGATTAGTTGGAAATTAGATTACAGTCTTGCGATCGCATCAAGACGGATGTCCGTGAAAGCTCAGAAGGTGACATTCTATTCTTAATTCAGAATGAGTAATTTGGAATATCCCAAATATTTGCAGAAAGTATTTCGATTTTTCGTCGATAACTTTTACAAAGGTACTGGAGATCATAAGAGATAACCAGCAATAATATCTAGCGATACTTGAACAATTGTTTTTCATTCAAGTATGTATAGATTTACAAGTGAATCTTTCCAATAAAAGTAACAGTTTTATTATGTAAAAGATGTGACTTCTATCATATGTCACGGTACATCCGTTGTATTAATATCGTGTAGCGAATAGAAAGAGAAATTAAGGAACAAAATTTTCTTACGCACAAACAAGCCAGCGCACTCGATAAAACAGATGTGATGCAGGAAGAGGCGGGGAAATAGAGAGAGAGAGAGAGAGAGAGAAAGGGGAGAAGGAGGAAAGAGAGAAGTTGTGGTCGTTAACAAAATTAGTGCCTTGTTCTTTTTATTGCAATCGCAAAGTGAGCGTGAAACGGAAGATAACGATGTATGCGTGAGGGAATAAAGATACGATTAATTTCCCTTCGCATACATAGAGATAATATCGTAATTGTCGGGAATGGTAATCGAGAATTCGTTTCAATTTCGACTTGTTTCTTGCTACTACGAGATGGTTTCTCTTTCAGTTGCCTTACGCACGTGCGTGTGCGAATTAGTGCGTGATACACTCTTCATTTTCCCTTCAATTCCCCCTGTACATTCGTGGATCCTCGCAGCGCCACATCCCGTGGGATCTACGTAAGTCCCGCAGATTATGACTCATACAAACCGCACGTAAACTACTACGAAGCCTTCTCTTTTCGCTCGTCGATTCGTCGTCATCCTCTTTTCCCTTTGCGATTCGATGTTTAGCAGTTTTAAGACAGGATTTAAATACACGGGGAATATGAGGAATATCTCCCAAAAAAACGTTAATTTTTAATTTGTCTATTCTAACGTTATCGGTTTCCTCTCGATATCGTTGGAGAGAATTAGAAATTAGAAATTAATGAAAACGACGAAAAGAAAGTAAAGTTGTGCAACGAGAAGCTGGGGAGAAACAAGGGACGAACGCAGCCAAGTCGAGAGATATGAGCCGGGAGAATGCAACGACTCGGGGGAGGAAATTGTAAGTGAGGAAGGAGGTTGCGACGTTGCGAGAGGTCGAGAGCTGGCGGTGACGGCTGAAAATCGTCGGTGGTAGAAAACACGGCGTAGCTGGCATACAAAGGGCGAGTTCTCCGTCCCCGAACAAAGCGGATTCCACCCCCTCCGGTGATGGGACGCAAGATCCCCGCGAAGGGTGAAAATATCCCATGCGCGAACGTGCCAATGTCTAGATAACGCACGGATTCGCGAGCATCCGCGCTTATCTATCGGGTGTCTGTTATCATAACGATATTATAAATTACTTACATTGTGATTCCGCGTGCAAGTTAATAAATAAGTGATAATTTCAAAAATATATAAAAAGAAAAAAAAGAAATGATAAAAGGAAAAACTAGCTTTAATGAAATTACAATATATATAGTACGATTATAAATTAGAATTATAAGTAAAAGGTACGTCTACAAATGCGCTTATTGTTTCATGCACAAATTAATACCGAACATGACATTACTACGTTAAGATAATCCTTCGCACCTTTATAACAATGACGAAGTTTCCAGATGCGATATATTATACTAGGTGATACTTGGTGCGTATATATACGACATTGGTATTGCCAATTTAGTGTAGTACATGCCCGTACATATACACAACGTTTGGCAATTCCGTGTTCTTTGGCAATCGACGTACCAACGGAGAATTACGAGTCACGACAAATGGTAACGCGTTCGAAAGAAATTGTCGATAGTATCAATGTCGTGGAATAAAGCGAATTGACATTATCTATCATATATTATTCACGTTGCAAACTAATAAAAAATTATCGTTCTAATGTACTTAATTAAAGATGAAAATCTCAAGATCACTTTATCATTTCTATCAACTGTTCAAATATTCATCTAAAATAATGATTCGATAGAACAGCACCCTATTATACAATTTTTGGACTGTTGATACGAAATATCGTAACTAAAATTATTTAATCTCCAATCCAGCAAAAAAAGGAAGAATAGAAAAAGGAGAAAAAGAAGAGGCAGGAAATAAGAGATCTTACGAGAAGGAATCATCGTGCTAATAATAACCATAAGTTGGTTTATTCATGTACTTTCGAATCACTCCATAGCGCCGATGATGCGTATAATTCTCAGGAAAATATCTGTTCACGTCGCACTTTTTTCGCAACCCTTCGCCTGTATCGCCATTGCTTTTTTGTCTCTCTCTCTCTCTCTCTCTCTCTCTCTCTCTCTCTCTCTCTCCCTCTCTCTCTGAAGTTCTACTCATCCCCTAGCATCCCTCTACTTCAAATGAATGCAGCGGGCTCGGGAGGGAGACTTACTCTGAAAACCTGTACCGAACCGGTACTCGAATGTGTAGGTGAGTATTTTTAACTCGTACGAAGCTATGAAGGAAGAAGGGAGCGAGAAGAGAAAGATTTAAGGGCCCCTGAAAGTCCACGTTCAGCGGTGCTCAGGCAATATATCATTCGCTTTGTATAATTGTAACGTTTCACCGGTCTCTATACAACGAGTATGAAATATGATAAATACGTACATCGTACGTACTTACGTATGTGCATTGCTCTACGGATAATTAGAAATATTTAATATTTATAAAGCAGAGGGAAAATAATTTAGAAGTATTCATTCAAAATTAAACATTTCTTGGAAATTTGGGTAAAATTCGTCACATTCTTTTAAAAATATCACTTTAAAGAGAGTTGTAGAATTATACATTCGAGTAACCGGCAAATTAAACAAGGATCTAACGTGTTTCTTATACATAAGAGCAAAAGTTCGTTTCTGGGAGGAGAGGAGAATTGAGAATCTCTGGCGCTCGGGTGTTTCGGGGTTAAAGACCGAGTGCAGCAGGTCTTACGTGTGCTTCACGACTTCAATTTTCTCTCTTGCTGTCCTCCCCCTTTGTCACTCTTTCACCACCCTCTCTTCAACGTCGATCTTTCCGCACTTTCTCGTCCTCTCTTCCGCTTCTTTCTCTTTTCTATCTTTTTTTGCACATGTGCGCGGAACGAAAGACTGTTTATAACAGAGCTGACAAATATAGTCAAAACGGCAACTCTATTCTTCATCTCCCCCCCTCTCTCTCTCTCTCTCTCTCCCTCTCTATTCTCTCTCTCTCTCTCTCTCTCTCTCTCTCTCTCTCTCCCTCTCTATTCTCTTCCTTTATTTACCTCCTCTCGTTCCTTTGGGATCCTCGATGGATTAGCGAGATTCCCATGGAATCATTGAGCTTACAATAATTTTATAACGAGCACACGTGTTTTGAATTAAATTCTGCTTAGAATTGCAATTCGATAAATCCTATATATTTCGAAATATTACAATTTTAGCTTGTTATTTTTTAAACGTGTTATTAAATGAACTGGAAACCCTTTAACAATTACAATTTACTTCTATGCTACGTTTCCGGCAGAAGAAGCTAAATAAAAAATGGTCTCGAACGTGCAAATCACCTAATCGGATACAAATTCAAATTTTGTTGCCCAAAAGCTTTCAAAGTGTATCTCATAGAATACTTAAATAGCGAGGCTTTTAATGCGGAACACGAGGCCCTTTTTCCTCCTTTCGAAAATCTCTTCGGAAAGTTTCTCAGAGGATTACGGGGATTGGGTTGAGTCCGAAACGGGGGAAAATCGATATATAAGCGGCACGCGTAATCCCGTACAAAGCTCGATTAATTGAAACAAACGTTGGTTTACCTAAAAAATGTAATAATATGACAAATGCTTTCTCCAATAATTAAGGATTGTACGAGCGCAACAAGTTTGCGTAAAAAACGTAGTAAAAAATATACGCAGAGTAAAATAAATTTGAAGAATATATAAAGTTACACAAGTCACAGTTGAAACTTGTAATGATATAAAGTATCGCGCGAGACGACGCGAGACATTGTGATGTATTTGAAACAAAATCAAGTGAAATATATGTCGATGGTCAAGCGAAAATTGTAAGGACGAGCAAAAATTGGATGAAACAGCGTGGCACGAAACAGGGAGAAAGAATAAGAGAGAGAATCACATCTAATTCTATCGATCTAGGCCCTGACCTAGACACGCCTAGACGAGGCTGTCGTCTAAGCCGTCAACCGCGGCGAGTGGCAAATAGCCGAGCGGAAAAAAGGGCTATCTTAAAATAATATCGTAAAGCATGACGAGCTCGCTTATGCGTGCGCGCATACGCATTATGGCGAGCTAGTTTGTGCACGACGTGGAAGTCTATTTCGAACGGAGAGCGCATTCTGTATCCAGACGGACACGCGCGCTTTGATACGGTCACGATATATAGAGTGCGGTGAAAGAGGGTACAGCATCCCCTTAGAGCTGAGCAGCGGTGCCCAACCGCTCAAATGAATGATAAGAGTGTGAACGCTTCCCTCTACCAAAGAGTTCTACGTCGGTGAAAATCGCGATGAAAATAAAGACTATACGGATAACGTATAGTATAACTATAGGAACGAGGAAGAGAACGTTATATCAATAAAGTGCATGTCGCACAACAGATTGGTGTAGCAATCTGTTTTATTTTCTAGATGCAATTACATGCGCGGGCGTGTGGAATAAACAGCGTACGGATGCACGTTGAAAATTTCGCTGAATTTCGCTAAACTTCGCAAAGTAACAAAATGAGCGAGAGACCTGTATATTTTGTCACTCTCTCAACGATCAGTCCCCCGCAATTTGCGAGGAGAGGTAGGTTGAGCGCCTCTGTGAATCGGGCCGAGCACATCTGGTCCGTAGAAACGTGGGAGTTGAGAGTAAAGTATAAACTATAGGGTGCCAGCCCATCCTCGCAAGGGTGGCGGACACCCCTCGGTCTCCCCTCGGTCTCCCCTCAGTCCCTTCCATAGATAGATAATATTGCCATACGTATGCGAAGCGCGCACGCAATGTACGTGAAATCGAAAGGAATCGAGACGTAGATGCGCACGCATCGGTACAATTGGCGCTAATTAAATGACAATAATTGTGTAGATAAAGTCGGCTAAAAATATCTGTCGTTGAAGCGTAACTAAATCAGTCATTTTTGTGTATCTCACTGCAAGAGATCGCAAGATAAGAATCATACATACATCTCTGTCGTTTCACGACGTAAGGATAAAGTCTTTCTCTTGAGAACACAGGTGAAAGATTGGTGGAAAATTGGCTGGAGAAGCAAAGCCGACGAAACTTACCGAGTTGCGACTGATGCGTCGGTGCCGGAGCCGGTCTGACTTTGTCCGGAGGGCATCTTCTGGTAGCGCAGACGGTCGCGGGCAGGGGTATGCTCGTGCCACCCCCTGGTCCACCTCCAACGCCAACGCCAACTCCTGACGATTGCTTGTTGTAAGGCGACGGCAGTCTAAAACAAAGAAGAATTCTGACGTTAACTCGCGAGTAAAACAAAGCACTTGCGCTTTTACCGGTAATTATCGTCTCGTTGCATCGCTCCGTTATTATGTCGCGTTACTTACAACGCTCTCGAATGAAATCATTTCTACTCGTGTGGTCGCGTTCGGCTTGCGTTCGAGGAAACGTGAGGGCCATTATTATCGCGACGTCTGATTAATCGTGTTCGACGCTTGATAAGTGGCCGGATACGGTTTCTTTATACGAACAAATTGCACACGATCGAATTTCTCGGTTACGCACGCGTACCGATAGCAATTTGCTCGACGTCACGTGTTTTATTAATCCCCGACGTGATTTATGATCAGCGATTCTTTTCGGTTCCATCGCAAGTGACCTCCTCGCTCACTTTATAATTATGTATCGATGTGTCTTTCACACTGACGTTGATCGTCGATTCGTCCAAGTATCGCGCCAGACGCCTTCCTCCACCTCATGTCTATTTGTGACTATCTTGCTCGATCGAGAAATTGAGAGTTGCAAATATTAAATCGAATGTGTAATTGACTGTGCACCTGGACAAACTGGGTATAAACATGTGACGTAATACGTTTACAACTGTACGTTTAAGGAAGTTGACGAGGAGTTCTCCCCTCGATGCCTTCGGGCAACAAGAGATGCGTATCGGTGAGACGACATTCCTTCTAATTGCCGATTGTCGGGGTCGAACCGGTACGATTTTTCAAGCTCGCACCAATTATAGATCTCGTCGCCATGATACAGAACACGCTCGCTTTCTTCCTTCCTAGAGCGACTGCGATATTTTGTAAAAGCAACAACCAGTTCGTTAGAGATCGAGCCTTCGTAATATCGATCTGTAGCAAATGTGTTATGTCCGATCTGTTTCTAATGTTATTGTTGAAATTATTTCACCATCATATTGTAAAAAAAATAGCTTAACATCGCACATGTACAAGTGCAAACGCACTTTTGGCGATTTTGGCAGTGGCAAAGATAACAGTTACACTTTTGCTGTTGTTGTGACAAAGTGATTACATCGAGACTAAATTTCTGCAAAGAACATGCGAGGGACTGCCCGAGAAATATCCCGGCGATGCCATTTTGCGGGTGATTCATTTCCGAGTTATGCAGCGACAGCTTTAAAAACGTACCTGCGGGCTGGTTTCAAAGGTTTAAGTAAAATGGATGAGCAGAGAAAATATATCTGTATTACATCGAATTGTGTAAAGAACACACCTTACTTTGAATTGCGCTACTTAAACTCACGTTCGGATATAAATCGCTGCAAATTGGCAGTCCGTGGCGAGTACATCGCGCGCGAGTGATCTCGTTAACAAAAGGGAGTCTCCAACAAGATCGGACGAAATGGACCGATGGATAATTCATTCCAGGTTCATTACGAGTAAGTGTTGGGTCCTATTCGAGTAGAAAGAGAGTCTACACGCCGCACGCCGAAGCTGAGCGCGCTTTGTTGTAGTACACAGGATAAATTTAGAGGATCTCGGTAGAAGAAGGACTTAACGAGCGTTTCGTGGAAGAACAACGAGGCGAGCTGTTCTTTCCGCGAGGCGATATTATTATCGTGAACATTCGACCATCGTTTATCGGCGATACGCACGCAAGGACGGTGGATCGCGTACCGTTACGCATGGCAAGGTCTCTGCCCCGTTTCTTCTCAGGTGTTTCACATATATCGTCCGGTATTCATTTTCTCACGTATCAACGACTTTCTTTACTCGATAGCGTTAGTATGTAGACAGATGAGACAGAATAACTGGCCTTAGCAACATCGAAACACACTCGATGTTGCTAAGGCCAATGAGATTGCGGCTAGCAGGACTAGAGTTGTATGATGTAGAGCAACATTGTACAAACGTCGATTCGAAGAAAATTTTGTTCGTCTCGAAGCTATTATCGAAACAATCGCGATACATAACGGTTCCGCGACCTCCACCCTGCTCGTCGATGCAACATCGCCGTCGCGAACAATGCCCCATTCTAATTAATCAAAGCTCTGGACGAACTTGGCGAGCATCTCCTGGGCAACACGAGCAAAACGTGAGTCTGTCTGTCTGTCGGTCGGTCGGTCGGTTCTCAACGAACGACCGGATCTTCGCTTCGAGACGAACGATCAAACGCCTCTCTTTGTTCATTACGAACGTAAAGGTCATATTTAATTATAATATTCGGAGAAAAGCGCGACACACGACATGTGCAAATTACATCACTGCCGGATTCTACGCGTAAAGGACAAACTCCTTGTTACTTTGTATACCGTGTGCATCGAGACATTCCGACAAATGTATTTTTAGGAAACTCCGTTCGATCGTTACGCATCGTGGAATCCTTGTTTCTCTCTTTCGACAACGATCGGTGACACACGACAGACGGCGCAAGACCGTAAGCTCCCGTCTCTACTAATGTCAGCACACGCAGGATTTAGCCCGCGAATCGTGCGATCGCAAAACGCGCCTGAGAATCTATTTCTGCGGTCATTCACATCGAAAACATTGACTCACTCTCGACCTGTGGATGTCTTTGAACTCGTTTGCTAAATAAAGAAAGGAAGAGGGCGAAAGGGAGGAAAGACAAGTCGAAAGGGAAGAATCGAAAAGAACAAGTCGTAAAAATCCAACTAACGTCAGGTAAACAGCGAATCATTCCAAAGTAAGGTCAGTTGCGATTTTCCGTGTACGAATTCAAGATAAGATATCAAATAGGTCGATTGTAAAAGTGCATGTTCGCCGAGTCGTGTCTAAATTTTATGCATACGACATTCCATCGGTAGACCGGTCCACCCACAGAACGTGATAGACTGGCAAGTGGTGACTTTTTGTTGCGCGTTTTTAAAAATAGAGAAAAAAATAATATGCTTCCTAACGACTCGGTTGATTATCGAGCGATTTTCATTATTGAGCAACGGTTCAGTTTTCTCGCTAATTCATCGCGGGCAGAAGTCGAAGTTCGACGACGTCCGGAAGAAAAAACGCTTAGAGGGATGAACCGTCTCTTTGCATGAGGAATGAATTTTTTAAGCCGCTTTAATTAAAGCTACCTTTGGCGCAAGCCTTGCGAAATTTTGTGTTCTTTCTTGTAGTACTCCTCTGAACAAACAAGATCGATTATTCTTCTTAAGAAAAATTGCACCCTTGAGATCTTTTTCTTTGTTATCGATTTTAAAACGCGAATGAAATTTTTTCCGTATATTTTTTTCATCTCCTTTGGAAGTGCGTAGGGTAGTTGTTATTATAAGGACATGATCGCGTCCTCATTGCTCGAAACGATCATTGGTCTTGCGGTTTCCTATATACTAGAGAGAATAATTATATGACGAGAAACGAGAAATAAAGAAGGAAAGAGAGAGAGAGAGAGAGAGAGAGAGAGAGAGAGAGAGAGAGAGAGAAAGACAGAGAGAGAGAGAAAGAGAGAAAAAGAAGAGCGTCGTGAGTTGGTCGGTCGCCGATCTATATCAAGAATGGAAAAATGCAAAACCAGATCCACTCGGTCGGTCGCGCATGCTGATCGCCACGGGAGCTCGAGGACCGGTTGGGACATGGATCTCGCTTCGCAGGTCGCGAGTCTCCTCGACACCTCCGATATTGACCCCACCCGTTGGTTGGCCAACGCGGCGTGTTCAAATAATTAATTGGATGACGTTTAGCGAATCATTTAATGCGATTTTTATTTTCAAGTATGAAACAGGCGGAAGGCATGTTTAACAAATTCGTAATTTATATAGCAAGTTAAAAATTTTGAATCAAATTTACGCTACTTAGCCACTCTTATGTTTCTCACAATTCGCATGTATTAGAAGCAAGTATCTTTGTGAGAGATACGACTTTGCAAGTGCGATGTTTAATTTAAAGAGATTGATGCGAGAAAAGAAGAGTATAAGAGGGGATCTTATAATGTCCATCTCTTCTCGAAGGACTCGCTTGTGTAGCGACAAGCGAGTGCGATCCAGGAAATCCTAAATATATACCGAGTAACCGGTTTCTCTCTCTCTCTCTCTCTCTCTCTCTCTCTCGTCGTCGCTCGTCGAGACGCGGCAAAAAAAATAGAAATCGAGACGAAATAAATATAAGAGCAAGAATGCATCAGAAATAAAAATAAAAATAAAAGACGAGAGTCTTATCCACGATAAATGATATGTATCAATCCGCTATACGAGTATTGGAAACGGATTTGTCTTCTTTTCTCTCAGTTTTGCAAATTCACATGGAGAATTATTTTTCTTCAATAAGACATCGTCGTTTTTTTATTTCTATTGAATATTTCTTCTTTTCACGTTAGGTTTTATCCGCATGCATTGTCTCTGAATTCGCAAGTTAATTCGACGGAATATGTGCCGGGATACCTGTGAGCTTCCGGTGAATTCGGCAAGCTTCGTGCCTTTCTACTGCTGCTGCCACTCCCGCTGCTTCCGCTGTTTCCCATTATGTCCTTTCGTTTTCTTTTCTTTCTCTCTTTCTCTTTCCTCAAATATCTTGCAGACGATTCTTCTTCTGATTGTCGAGCATGGTTAACAAGACTCACATTTCACTTTGGATTATTATGTTTTCGTTCATCTCCTTTTTAATGAAAGTAACAAAAATCCATTTTAATCGAACGATTAATATATTAATAGTCTTCTTGAGAGAGAAATCGAAATATTCCAAATAATGCATATCTCGATAATACTCGTCTCTCTCCGTAGCTTTAATTATTTCACTTTATTTCTTTTTTTCTTCAAAATATGAGAAAGTAAATACATCTAGTACATATCGATCGGTTATTTTAATGACTGAAGAGTGGGGGAAGATTTATAATAACGTTCATTTGTTAGTTATCTCGATTATTATATCCTCTCGAAAAACCGACATAATGATCGATCCGGCTCGTCTCCTCCCTCTTACGATCGTTATTATCTTCCCTGTATAATGAGATGATAGTCCCTCTATAATTATCTCGTAAAAAAGGTGGCAGACCTTTTTTATGAGAAATATTTCGAGCTGATTCTTCTCGATTCCGTCTCAATCCTGTTGACGATCGAACAATGATATTTGTTTTGTTTAGATAAGAGAAATTTTCTACTCTAGCAATTAAATCGTTGCCTCTTTTACAGTCTGCGGTCATAGAGATTATGATGCATCTATTAAATAAAAGTGTCTCCTTAGAAACTTGAAATTCCGCATGTTACTTGGTTGATTTTGACACACAAACGAAGATTGTCCCAAACTGAGAAACTGAAAACGCACGACGAACTCTTTTCTCGTTAGAGGTTGATTAATTCACCCCCTCCCCTCCCCTCAAAACTCATGCATATTTCATCAATTTTGTCTTATCTCCAATTCTAGGAATCCTCGCTATTGTGATCTCTTCTCGGCAATTCGTTGCGCGAGAAATCCAAAGAATCATACGTTCTCATGATCAATTGACTTTGTGCTCTCTCGCGGAAAAATATCTCCAGCTCAGGATCTTCTCTGCCGCGACATATAACTGAATGAGTGTTTGTAACAAGTACTTCGAAATTGCACTCACGAGAGATAACGAGGATCTTCTAAAGTCCGTAATAACTCGACGTAGCGTGCCAATGGGTACTCTCATCGCGAATCGATCAGGCTCGCTCGATCGTCCGACTTAGCGTCTCGCTATTCACGAGACGAGCACGTTATATCTACGATCGCGACATCCTTACGGGATCGACTCTCTTGGAAAGGGGATCATTGAAATATTCTCGACTTTTCAATGGCGAATTCGATCAACTTTATAGGCTAGTTATCGAGTTAATTGCTGACTTTTGGCTGCCCCTCAATTAATTACTGACTTATTCGTCGTAATCGTAATAGGATTAATTCGATATTTAATTTACTTTAAAGAATTATTCGTTTCAAATCACGGCAAATTTCAAATTTTTACATCACAGATCCACAAATTAATTCTTTCTCCTTCCTCTAATTAATTGTCCGATCGATTGAGAGAAAAAGACGATCGAAGAAGAATCTAATCGGTCCGACTTCTTGCGTTTATCTTGGACTTAAATGTATTCCGTAAAATCTGTACCGGCGAAATCGCACCTCCTCTTCCTGTAACACTTGCACGAGGGCAATCACTATTGATCCTTTACGATGCCCAAAGAAAAGCGACACTCCGCTGCACCGTGCATAATCAAACGGATCCACCATCGATTTTCCCGCACGCTGGAGCTATCTTCGAAAATGAAGGAAAAACACGACGAAAAATTCGAGCGAAAAACCATTTTGCTGCTGAGCGTCGTCGACGGTACGACGACGCCTCATGGCGACGAGCGACCGCGCTCCGCCGCAGTCATGATGGTGTGGCCATGGTGTGTAGGCATCGTTGATGGCCCGTTTCGAACTGAGAAACCCGCCGAGAGGAGAGAGAGCTATTCCCGTTCCCATAGCACGTGGCTGCTCTCTCTCTCTCTCTTTCTCTTTCTCTCCCGTCGCCCCTTCTTCTGGCTTGGTCTCTCGTGACCCCTCGCAATCCCCTTCTTCCACCATTGGCGTCCCCGTCGTTCTCCCGTTCACCTCCCAGCCCCCTTCGGCTCACCCCGGTTTCCCCATGCAGATGCATGCTCCTCTCTCCCTCTCTCTCTCTTATTGTTCCTTTCCCCATGGTGCTGTCCTTCTCTGTCGGATTACTACTTATCCTTCTCTTTTCCTACCTTTCTCCCTTTCTCTATCCTTTACCTTTTCAAGCTCCATCTTTTTCTCTCTTCTTTAGATACACCCTCGCATAATCTGTCCTTGTCTCTCATTCACATCTCTTTCTCTTTCCAACAGCAATCTGGTTTCATCGCCTTCTCTCTCTCTTTCTCTTTCACTCACTCATTTTAGCTCACAGCCTCTCCGGAGCCCGCTCTCCGGTCCCCTACCTTTTCGCAGCGTTACGCAGCCAGCCGATGGCGGACTCAGTCTTCCGCAGGAGTCGACCAATGCCGGCGGCACGCTCGACGGATTTTTAAACCATTTTTATGTTAATGCCCCGTGCGCGATGCATTTGCGCACACGGCGTAGCAGCGCACGTGCTATGTGTACTACGCACCGTGCTTCACAGACGTAATGTGCACATTTTGCTTCGTGTGCGTACGTGTCAAACAGAAAATTACTAAATACAAACAATAATTCACAAAACGTGGAATATATCGGTTTTTGCTGTAACCTAATTTAACCTTAATCTAACTATGTGTGATATCTATCATGTTTTATAATATATATCCTATTTGATTTTTTCTTCTAGTCTTTTTTCTCTGGCTTAGAGTATAACGCGCGAGAGGAAATTCTCAAAGATTCGAATTCAAATTCCATGTTCTGAAGAACGCGTTACAGTCGATAACGCGCCCACACTGGATTAGATATACGCACTCAGGGCATAATGGAGCATTGTTAATATGTCAATGTACGATCCGCCTAAGAACCCTAGCACTGCGCGTTTCTCCTGCTCGAAGAATTGTTACGCGCTCCATTAGGTACAGGTCCCCAAATCCCCTTTTGTCCAAAAGATTTCTCTCCATTTCACTGTTTTCGTCACTCGAGTGTATACTTGACAATTTTTCGGTTCAAACATCTCCCCAATTTTATTTTCGGAACCCGGAATAAAGACCCGAGGTAAAGTTCGAGGGTGAGGAGTTTAAAAATAGCCTCGTAAGTTCATTGATTATTCGTAATGTAGCGACTCTAATCCGACTAGCTCGACGAAGATATCTTATGAACAATGAATAGTGGACTTGCTCATACTCTACACCTTGTATAAGACTGATATCTTTATTCTTTTGCGATCATCGAATATCCAATACATTGTTATTGATCATATTTGACCTTACTAACTTGTTGAAAGTAAGACAGTGTAGTGTTTAAAAAGTAAAAGTCCAATCGGTGAGTCGTGCTGTAATCTCGTTTAGTTGATATGAGAACAATGGCGACTCGTAGCAGAGACTTTGAAATTATAGACGATCTGTCTGTCAAATCCGTGGTTAAAGGTCTGCAGGAGTCATAGATAAATCCTGAGTTGACTTTGGAGACCTCGTGCGGCGCGAACGTAAAGCACTGCCTCTGTGTGTAGGAGTATATCCATATAATGGACTTGAAAATCTGTGACGGTGCACAGGACAGATCGGTTGTGAATCTGCGGTAAGGGAAGAGTAATGTTGTCTTTTTCTACAAATATCGTCAGGTATTTCTGCCGTATACCCGATGATTCATATCAACTTGTAGAAAGAGACGACAAGCGAATAAAAAAGGAGAATGATCTTGTTGCTCTTATCGCAAATTTCACATACTCTTTGCCTATGATCTCACTTTATACTCTGTCCATAGATTTTTAGATTTATGACTGACAGTGAATATCGGAACGCAACTATAGAGAAAGAATAACTAACACTTGAACTAAAATAGCTTTCTGACCTTTTCTGACAAACACATGAAAAACATGTACCGAGGCAATATTTGTTGTTTACCCGAATAATATATATAAATATAAATAAATAAATATATACACACAAACACACAACACACACACACACACACACACACACACACACACACACACACACACACACACACATACACACATATATAGTAATAAAGTTTTGTAAGTTTCGTACATTCGTATAAAACTACTGTTTAGATTGTTATTGTTCCTTTTTCTAATTTCAAATACGTTACACTATACTAACAGTCTACTTGGCGCTATCTAGCGATATCGTGGAAAAGTTCGTATTGCCAAACTGGCTTGAGTCTCAACTAAGTGAGGTTTGAGTCTTAGCTAAAGCGAAATTTTATCTTCAAGTAGTACGACTCAAATGCGACCTTTTTCTTTTTTAATAACATTACTAAATAGCGAGTAGGATAAATTTCCTATGTTGCTCAGTTGCTGATAAATAAATATGTCAAATAATCAGTGTTTAAGTGGCTGATAAATGATAAATGCGAAAAATTGAGTAAGATATAATTTTTCACTCAATTTTATTCTTTTTAGATGGTTACGAGTGAAATGGTTACGAATGTATTTAATTGGAACTAAACAATACTAAACAAGTACTAATAAGTGATATACGGTAAACTTTAACTCGATTGTAGGTAACAGTAGATCCCCATTTGACCGACAGTCTGTCGTACCGAAGACCCGCCGTGTAATCGATTATGAGAAGTCCAAATTTTCGAGTCGGTTTAATAAGACCTGTACGCATATATATATA